GGCAATCATCGGCCGTGTAATACAAAATCGAAAAATAAAAAAACCATTAAAATATAAAGTTATAATGAAGTGTGCTCTGTTGTCATAACAACAAACAACAGAAAAAAAAAACCCCCAAAAAACTATGAACGGCTGCCTAATCACCCGAATTGAACTTTGAAAGAAAAAATTTGTTTTACGTCTACATTTAGAAACTAATTAATTCCTCTTATTTAATAATTTATCATTGGTGTAAGATACTTTTCAAATAAACAAAGGTTGCAAAGTTTTACTGTGGGATTGTAAGATCTACAATGATTTACAATTTTCCATTCAATTGTCAAGCTTACTCCAATTTCTTTTAACCTCCATACTTCCTTAGATAATTTAGTGTCATTTTTATATTTTTCGATATTAAAAGATTTTGTAAGGTTAGCATATCTAAGTTTGAATGCGGTTTCACTCACTCCAAAATACACATTTTCATTTCCATTCGGAGTGCCTGGGTACAAAGTGGCGTGATACACTATGTTATTTACAAGACATTTTTGATTTAGAAGGCACTTGCTTTTGATAATACAATTGCAAAGTTTATTGGAATCAGAGGTGTTGTTTTTCATTATATGATGGTTATGAGAGTTAACTATTGATTTGATGTGTGGGATACAACTGTAACTCACCTTTAGAGTATTTCTATTAAAAATATTGTGGTATTTATGGCCAGCTGGGAAGTGTTTGTCTATTAAACTCAAAAAGAGTTTACCAATTTTGATAGAAATATTTTTACTATATGGGGGGTTAAACCAGATTATATTCCGCTTCCGATTTTTTGATAGAGGTTGAATAAGTTTCGGAATATAGTTAAGCTTGAATTTGTAACCAGTCTTTTATAATGCACCCTGATACACATTGGATGAGTTTCGAAAAATATTTTCACTAGATGAAATAGCTGACAGCCTTAATTGTATAGAACGAGGAAGTTAATTGTATTCAGCCTTAATAGTATAGAACGTTAATTGTATTCAGCCTAAATTGTATAGAAGTTAATTGTATTCAGAACGTTAATTGTATTTAGCCTTAGTGTATATAGAATTGTATTTGTAATTGTATTTAGAGCGTTAATTGTATTTAGCCTTAATTGTATAGAAGTTAATTGTATTCAGCCTTAATTGTATAGGACGAGGAAGTCAGGTCAGGAGTATGGTCTTCATGATCATCCTGCTACTGGTAACATGTAACCCAGTGCAACCTGTTCCATGTTCTGCTGGCTTGCAGGATTTACTTTCTAAGCAAAGGCTGGAAGGAATGTGCTTCCTGTCATCAGTACTATGTTATATCAGTCATGCCTATAGAATTTTTTTTTTTTTTTTAAATATATTTGGAGGTACTTTAGTTACTGTATTAGCTCACCTGTAATCTACTTTATATGTATGTTTGTGTTCTGTCTGAACCTCTGGCGCGGTGTTCGCTCACCCGTAAGTTACTTTATGTTTTTTATGTATGTTTGTGTTCTGTCTGAACCTCTGGCGCGGTGTTCGCTCACCCATAAGTTACTTTATGTTTTTTATGTATGTTTGTGTTCTGTCTGAACCTCTGGCATGGTGTTGACTCACCCGTAAGTTGATTTATGTTTGTTTGTGTTCTGTTTATTCTCTGATGCAGCGTAAACTCAGTAACTAGCTACTTACTCCAACTACAAAACCTACACTCACCTTAGACTCCTATATTTTGTTAGATGCAGTGTTTTTCCTAATGCACTTCCAAAATGTCATGCCTGGTTTTCTTAAAGTACTGTTGTGGGAAGTAACTCCTTTTAACTACTACAGGTCAGGTCAGGATAATCAAGATCAGTCTTGCTACTAGTATCACATAACCCAGTACCACCTGCCACAAGCCCTGCTGCCTTGCAGAATGTACTCTTCTTAGGCAAAGACTAGGAGAAATAAACTCCGACTAAAAATTTCCCTGCCTTGGGGCTCTTGGTTGAGTAAAGGCTAGATATGGTGTCTAGATAAAAATACTCATCTTGGGTAGATGTTAACTGCATCCAGCTACTGTCTTGTAGAAGGCCTCCTAAGCAAAGACTTTAGGAGTAAGCAGAAAAATTCTGCTAACCAGCCTCGAACCCCTTCTTCATCTATTAGGCTGGCGTAGATGTAACCTGTGTTACATTGTTTCCTGCCTAGGATGATGAATGCTGGATCTCCTTAACTCTACTCATAAAATTTTGCTTATGCCTCCTTGATAATGGCTATGCAACTCTTCTTGTTATCTCCATATGAGGGTACAGCTCTAAAACTCAGTTTTATGGCTCTGAGGCCGGCTGGTAGTCAGGTTTCCCGAACTCTGTGGTAGCTCTCAGAGAGGCTGATTCCATCAACAGCTGCAAAATATCAGAGTATTAACAGTGCCATGTTGCGCATGGATGGTGTCTCTGTTAATGCTTTTGGTGTGCATTGTCAAGGCCGCATAAAGAGCCCTATGTCACGGCTTAGGGTGAATTAACAGGACTGAGACAACT